TTTTCGACCTTTTACGGCATCAAAAGTATGGAGAATCCCCAAACTTCAAAGGAGTCAGCTAAACAGCCACAAGTCACCACAACAGGCAGCGGTTCCTTGACCTTTCGTGACAGGGAGACCATTCGATCTTCCAATGAAGAGAGGTGGCTCGCCGCCATCTCCCACCATCCTGCACAGGCCAGGGAACGGTTTTGGTTCTTCTAAATCATCTAAATCAATGTGTTTGAGCAACTAAATATCCATTGTCTGTCGATCCTGCAAACTTTGCTATCCCCTTGCCCTTCTGTTTTTGGGACATGAGAAGGATTGGTCCGTATTTTGCTCTTCTATGCTTTTCTCATATTATTAAAGAAACACAATGGGTTTGCAGTTACATCTGTTCCACGAGGAAATGAATGAGGAAAAACGCAAGGTGGCTGAGTCGGCAACAGCACTTGAAGTGTTGAAACATTGGTTCGAAAAACTCACGCAAGCCAGCAGCTGCAGAACGGCGGAGGGAAACCTGTTTGTGGGGAGAGTATCGTGAGCAACCACCATGCAACCAAATCGAAATTGGAGCAGCTTGATCAAAAGTTGAGCGCAGGTACGTTGAAAGAGCATCCTCTTTCGATATCCTGGTCTGAACCTGGAGCTTCGTTGGCTCACGCCAGGAACAGACCCGTGAGCCCCCTGCACTTAAAAAACTCTTTAGGCCAGAGTATGACACACACAGCGTGCCGATATCGGCGCTCGAAAGAGATTACGAGTCACCTAAAAAGCCTTAGAAAGAAAGGAAAGGAAAAGGCAGAAAGAGAAACGCAAAGGGCAAGAGGGAAAGATAGGTGTAGTTATGAGGCCCACTAGTTACAAAACCTTCTAGTTACTGACTACCTAGCACTCTAGTTACTGAATACTTAGCCCTTGACTTGAGGGAACGGAAAGAAGTGCTGGGTCCGATCAACAGAAGGTTTCAACAAGAATTAGTTACTGACTACTTTGCAGTTCTTAATTAGGTGCACTAGTTAGCGAGCGGGACATTTGTCTTAAACCGCCCGGGTAGATAGGACTAGGACAGGAGAAACAGAAGGAAAGGTACCGACACACAAGTGTGTGTACCCTTTCTTTCTGTTACCCTAGATAGCAGGCGGGATAGAAGTATGAATTCGCGTGCAAGGTGGCGGGGGTGGAAGTGAAAGTGCATGGAAAAGTTCGACTGCAAGTGGAAAAGTTTGGAAAATGCAAAGCTGGAAGGTGCAGTCTGGACACTCTTGGCTGGCAAGTCGGTAGAAAACCGTGAGCCCGGCGGTTTCAATTTTGGGAATACAGTGGTGAAGCGAGAATCCGTTAAGATAATCCAAAGCGTGCAGAAAGCGGCAAAATCTGTTAGTGGTAATCCGGCATGAAGTCAGCGCCCCAGTTACATCTGTTCCACAAGGAAATGAATGAGGGAAACGCAAGGTGGCTGAGTCGGCAACAGCACTTGAAGTGTTGAAACATTGGATCGAAATACTCACGCAAGGCAGCAGCTGTAGAACGGCGGAGGGAAACCTGTTTGTGGGGAGAGTATCGTGAGCAACCACCATGCAACCAAATCGAAATTGGAACAGCTTGATCAAAAGTTGAGCGCAGGTACGTCGAAAGAGCGTCCTCTTTCGATATCCTAGTCTGAACCTGGAGCTTCGTTGGCTCACGCCAGGAACAGACCCGTGAGCCCCCTGCACTTAAAAGACTCTTTGGGACAGAGTATGACACACTCTGACATTGGTTTGCTGTTAACCCAATTCCCAGGTCGAAAATGGTGAGGGAACGGCATGGCGAGAAAGTCAGTTCACTTGAAAGGTTGAACAAGTTGTTTGCGCGTGACTGCAGAGCTCAGCGGTGGTGAACGAGCGGCGCAACTCAGCTGCAAAACCAAGGTTTGGGGGGGGAAACATGAAGGACCATGAATCAAACCGTGGAAGAGTAGGGTAACAGCTTGTGAGAGAACGAGCAGGTACGTCCAGCTGGCCAAGCTGGATATCCCACCAGATTGCATAGCTTTGTTAGACACGGTCTGCAATCTGGTGCCATGTCCCCCTGCTTGCATAACAGAAAGATAAAGAAAGGCAGCACCCTTTGGAACAGGGGTTGACACACACACGGCGCCGCTTGGCGGCGCTCGCGTGGAAAGCCTGAATAGATACCTAAAAAGCCTTAGAAACAAAAGAAAGAAACACAGAAAGAGCAGCGCTAAGAGGGCAAGAGAGAAAGATAGGTGTAGAAAAATGAAAAAATGAATACTTAGCCGCCCTTGACTGGGGTAGGGAAACGAGCCTCAAGAGCAACCTAAGAAGCCTGAGAGAAAGCCCACCACACGACGAAAAGCGCAAGAAGGAAAGGGGGGGGGCAGGGAGGGGGTGTATGTCCATGTGTGTGTACGTGTGTGTGTGTGTCTGAATACTTAGCACTCTAGGGTTACTGACTACTTAGCAGAAACGAATTACAGTGCAATAGTTAGGGAGCGGGACTTTAGTCTTAAACCGCCCGGGTAGAGTAGACTAGAAAAGGGACAACAGAGGGAAAGGCACCGACACACAAGTGTGTCGAGTACCATTTCCCTGTGTTACCCTAATTAGGTAGGGAGTAGAACACGGTGGGGGGGTTGGGAAACCTGCCTCAAGTGGGGTGAATTCCGTTTTTTTAGCCCGGCGGCTGTCGTATCCGTGAGAGCCCGGCGGCTGTCATTCCAGTTAATTCAAGGTGAAAGGAAGTCAGTTAGGAGAATCCAAGGTTTGGTGAAACCTATCAAAGCTGTTACACGATTTCCGGCATGAAAACGGCGCCTCCTTGCGGAGGATCACACCCAGCACCCAAGTGGGACGGCTGAGCGGTTCACACTCTGACATTGGTTTGCTGTTAACCCAATTCCCAGGTCGAAAATGGTGAGGGAACGGCATGGCGAGAAAGTCAGTTCACTTGAAAGGTTGAACAAGTTGTTTGTGCGTGACTGCAGAGCTCAGCGGTGGTGAACGAGCGGCGCAACTCAGCTGCAAAACCAAGGTTTGGGGGGGAAACATGAAGGACCATGAATCAAACCGTGGAAGAGTAGGGTAACAGCTTGTGAGAGAACGAGCAGGTACGTCCAGCTGGCCAAGCTGGATATCCCACCAGATTGCATAGCTTTGTTAGACACGGTCTGCAATCTGGTGCCGTGTCCCCCTGCTTGCATAACAGAAAGATAAAGAAAGGCAGCACCCTTTGGAACAGGGGTTGACACACACACACACACACATTCTTGTGGAGATCAGTGCCTGCGCCTGCCACGATGTCGGGTTCACCAGCCTTGTAGCCATCAAAGCAGCAGAATAAGTTATGGATGACTATGGGGGCACTACCAAGGCTTGAGTTCGGGAGCATACAAGATTGATTGGTGCTGCTCAGTGCTGCTCCGCTTTCTTCTCGGCCGACGTCGTGACGTCGCTCTGAGGTGTTTACTTGGCGCTCAGCGGCGAGGTTCTGCACAAACTTCTCCAGCCTCCCGAGTCGCAGGTCTCTACAGCGGGGTCTTAGCATGGCTTAGCATCGCTGCTTGGGTGGCCCCTCTGCATCCTCTGCTACTGGGCATAAATAGCTGTGGAACAAAGGGGCCCAACCAGCCCAACCCAACACACCACATTCGACAGAAATAGTAGGTTGGAGGCCATTGCTAGTAGAGAATAGACAGAATTCTTACTGCAAATGCGATGAAACACCTTGCGTTTAGCACGCCTTTTTTCTTCAGTCCACTGCGCTGCAATCACATTGAAAGTTTGAAAGGTACACCACTTCGAGTGTTGGTGCTTGCTTTCGTCTTCCTCCTTGATCACTGTCTATGCAGCATCGCAATTGGATGCAATTGGTATCATCCGCAAGTAAAGGTGATCAACTTTGGGTCACCTCCGGAGTCGAGGAGGTTCCAATCGTTTTTGGCATTGAGCCTTGTGACGGTCATGTCCGTGCCCTTGCAACATCCAGCATTGGGGTGAACGGGCTTGAAGCCCGATTTGATGCAACAAATTGAGTCTTGAATGTCGGGTATCCACTTACATGTAAGTCCACGTCCCACATACGTATTCTGCCCAGCACACTTCTGCTTTCTCGAAAAAAGGCTCTTCAGGCCCTTCTTCTTGGGAGCACATGGAGAATTAAGAGCCAGCTTGCAAGTGCCTGTTTCAAGTTCGCATACCAAGCCTTTTTCGCAGCACCCCTCTGGCTGTTTGTAGTAAATCGTGCTGCGGCAGCCACATTTCTCTCCATACTTCGGGGGCTCTTCTGATGAATTGGTTTGGACCATCTCTGTGATCTCCATGTCAAGGTGATCAACAATCCGAGTGGATGATGCAGCCGTGAGGAGCATGAGCATTGAGCAAAAAGCCATTCTCAAATGTAGAAGATGTCAAGCAACTTGAACTGCTGTGATCTGGGGGCTACCTGACTTGATCCAAGCTTTGAGCCCACCATGTCTTGCGATTTGTTGGTCTTTGTTCCCGCTGAGCGGCTGAGCAAACAGAAAAGATCAGAAAAGATACAATTCCACTTCCACCAACTTCTGAAAGAAGGAATTGCTTGATGAACAATAACAAATGATCAACTTCTGACGAAGTCCGGAAACCTGCACTCTTCTTACAAGGGCAGAAGTCTGGTCTTCGCCTTTCTAGGCGATACGGCAAATCATATGCTGATTAGCTATATAGCTATGGGACTCGCCCTCTCTGACGTCATGCTGTGGCAGCTATCAAGCCATATCAAGCCTCTAGCACCCTGGGGCTTTCCCATCTTGAGCGTCACCCTTGTTGGGCTGAGACCGGGGCAAACAAGAATCTCCTGCTGAAAAGAATAAGCAACACTATAAGCAACATATTGTTGCTCTGCTTTTTGGCCAAGGCACTTTGGACACAAGGCCGACTATTTATTGACACACTCCAGGGTGCTTGACATCAATATCATGCATTCACCGCAAAGGTCTATGAGCATTAGCCATCACATGTCTTTGCTTCAAAAAGGCTTGCTCCAACCACCCTCAAGCTTGTCCCACAAATCCTCAAGCTTTGACCTACCAATAACGGGTCAAGAAGAACTCCTCCCTCTCAGGTGTGGCCGCTAGAATGGACAGAAAAAGTTCCAGCGCGCTAAAGATGGGAATGACCTAGCTCAGGTCGTGCTGCAACGCTGACCAGAATCAGCACGCCAAAGGTGAAAAAGTGTCTGCATCGATGCTATCAGTATGTAAATTCATCTCCAACATCTGAATAACACCCTTTTCTTTGGTCTGTTTCTTTGATGATTGCAGGCCTGCTCTTCCCTGTTGACAAACTTGGGAGCCTGTAAGGCATTGGATGGGATTAAGTGTCTGGAATAAACTTGGAACGGAAAGCTTCAACAATGTGCATCTAACACTGAAAAGAGCCAACCAAAGCACAGATCAAGAGCATGCCTCGATCATGAAACGTTCGGGGCCACCAGACCTTACTCAGTTCATTTCCCATTGCAGTATATTATAGTTTCAATACATGCACGTGCAAGCTCAGTTGTGATGTGTCATCAAAGAGTTTTTTCTAGACATATACGCCAAAGCTCAGGATTTCAGCATGTCTGCAGTTCAAGCCACAGATTAGAGAGTCTGTCCCAATCAAATTGCTCCGTGAGAGTGTCGACATCTCCTCCGACGATAAACAAATTCTCAGGATCCTCAGCATCATGCAAGAGCGAACCTTTGAATAAGCAATGTTCTCAAGTTCCTGAAACCACGTGCTGGTGCAATATGCAAAACCAGGAAGAAATCACCTTGCAGTACTATTGTTGCAGGAATTAATGAGCACTGTGGCTGTAGCCTGTAGATGAACCTTGTAAGTCCCCGACGGCCAAGTAAGGGGACAGCAAAGACACGTACTCTTCAGCCTGCCGCACCAGATCGCACCAGACCCTCTTTGGACAGCTTGTCAGCTCATCAAATGGCCCGACACCGGGCCTTTTCAGTCATCAGTCCGCCCACAAGAATTGGAACCAGCGTAAAGTGCTGCTCCTGTGAGAAAAGCAACCAGAGCTGGGAACGCAGGTTGCGGATCATTTGGAGTTGCTATCGTGGCTGGTTGTGGGTGTGAAGAATGCAACTTGTTCTCTGCAGTCGGAGCCTCAGTGCTCGTGTTTATCCACAGGGGCAAGCACCTCCCTGGCACCTCCCGTGTAGTGCCGGTGTAGTAAGCGACTTTTGGAGCTCTGTGTGAGTCCATTCTGATGGGCAGATTCTGGGATATGCTGGGGTACAACCATATATTTATGAGGGTGTGCAGTGCACAGAGTTCCACAAATACGGAAGACGATGGAAGACGCGTCCAAGTCTAATACACCACATATGTCAAGGAAAGAATCCAAGCTGACTCCATCAGTAGTAACAAAAAGCTACTAGGGGCTCCTGGCATCGCTACTAGGAGCAAGAAGCTGACGTCGACATGCCGGACCGTCCCGAGCCACCGGAGCCGAGCCCTCCTCCCAGACGCAGCTCCGGACGAAGGGCAGGAGCGCTTCGATGGAGCGTTCGCGCTGGTCCTGAAGTGGCAAAGGAAAGCAGGTCGGATGGCACGTTCAGAGAGAAAGGGCCCTGGGGCTGTTATTTTTTTCTCGTAAATATGTGACATGTTCTGAAATCTCCAAAAAATACCAAAGGTGAACTCAGAACAGCTGTAGATAGCCAGTTGGGTTTGGAAGAGTTGAAAGGCTATGAAATGCTCTGGCGACTGCCCCTGCCAGGGATGAGTGGGGATCGGCAGTGTGCACCAATTTTCAGAACCTTTAAAATCCATTCATCTGAGGATAGCAACAAAAGACGGTACACACAACCCCACCAATGACAAAAAAAGACATCTGCGTCTCCGCAATTTTGGAACAAAAACAGGAAACCAAGCTTGAGTGCTCTAGAGTTGAACGCACAGTCACAGCAGTCCAAAAAAAACTCCGCGAATGGCTCTTGCAAGGAACCCAGCAGCCCGTCCTGATCGACAGTGAGCACTTGAAAGGCCTGTCGACTGAGGACTGAGGCGGTTCGAATGGAAAGCTGCACACCTGCAGACCCTGATTCCCAAAGATCAATCTAGCATTTGCTGTCGGCCCGACAAAAAAAACAATTCATGACTCGAAGCGACACATGACCGAGGGACGAAGCAGCGACACAGGCGACACAGTCGACCTTCGAGTTTCTGAGCTGCTGCAAGCAGGGAATGTCCAATGCAATGCTGCCATACCTGGTAGAACATTAGGAGCAAGCACGCTACTACGGGCTCCTCGCCTTACTACTAGGAGCGACCGGACGCTACTAGGGGCTCCTGGCCCTACTAATAGGAACAAGAAGCTACTAGGGGCTCCTGGCCTTACTACTAGAAACAAGAAGCTAGTAGGTGCTTCTGGCCTTGCTACTAGGAACAAGAAGCTACTAGGGGCTCCTGGCCTTACTACTAGG